CTTGTCACTGTTTATTTGTCTGCCCTTTTCTGATGTATCAGATTCTTTTTTATATGAATGTTTATCATCTGATCTGGCCCCTACTTTATCTTCATCCATCCTCTGCTCCTGACTATAACCTGGAGATTCTCTATCATTAGGTTCTCCCCTAAGAGAAGTCTCTGTCCGATCCACATGCTCCTCTGCAGCAGTCGGCTTTCCCCCATCTCCTAGTTTAAAAACTGCTCTACAACCTTTTTAATGTTTAGTGCCAGCAGTCTGGTTCCACTTTGGTTTAGGTGGAGCCCATCCTTCTTGTATAGGCTCCCCCCATTCCAGAAGTTTCCCCAGTTCCTAATGAATGTAAACCCCTCCTCTCTACACCATCATCTCATCCACGCATTGAGACTCTGAAGCTCTGCCTGCCTACCTGGCCCTGCGCGTGGAACTGGGAGCATTTCTGAGAATGCCACCATAGAGGTCCTGGATTTCAGTCTCTTCCCTAGCAGCCTAAATTTGGCCTCCAGGACATCTCTCCTACCCTTCCCTATGTCATTGGTAACTACCTGTACCATGACCACTGGCTCCTCCCCAGCACTACACATAGGTCTGTCTAGATGCCTCGAGATCCGCAACCTTCGCACCAGGCAGGCAAGTCACCATACGGTTCTCCCGGTCATCACAAACCCAGCTATCTATGTTTCTAATGATCGAATCTCCCAATACTAATACCTGCCTTTTCCTAGCAACTGGAGTTCCCTCCCCTGGAGAGGTAACCTCAGTGCGAGAGGCAACCCCAGAACCGTCTGGAAGGAGGGGCCCAACTATGGGAAGGTTTCCCTCTGCTCCCATTGACTGCTCCGCTTCCCTGGGCCTTTCATCCTCCTCAACAGCGCAGGGGCTGTCTGACCGGAGGTGGGACAATTCTACAGTGTCCCGGAAAGCCTCATCAACATACCTCTCTGCCTCCCTTAGCTCCTCCAGTTCCGTCACCCTTGCCTCCAGAGTCCGTACGTGGTCTCTGAGGGCCAGGAGCTCCTTGCACCGAATGCACACATACGCCACCCGCCCAGGGGGCAGGTAATCATACATGCTACACTCAGTGCAATAAACTGGATAGCCCCCACTCTGCAGCTGGGCTTCTGCCTGCATTGTCTCCTAGTTAATGAAGGGGTTGTTTAAAGCAAGAAGTTTTGAATGTAGTTTGGGCTATAGGTTTTAAGGGGAATAAAGGATATAAGATAGAACCAGCAAGAGACCCGCGCTCCCTTCCTGCTCCCCTTCCAAACTCCCTTGCGAAACTCCCTGTTAGCAGCCCCTGGTTGCAAAAGCTCCCTGGTCGCTTGTGCGCTGCTTTATAAAGCCCTGGCCTGGGTGAATGCCCCGCCCACTGATTAAGGCTCAGCCAATTACCAGAGGCTTCTAGCCATCAGACCTTCCTTTGAAGCTCACAGCTTCCAACTGCCAGTCACAGCACACGGTCCTTCAAACAACCAACCAAACAAACAGACTGACAAACACAAGCTCAGCACACAGCAAGTAACCCCCAAACACAAACAAACACATACTACAGACAGTCACTTACCCCAAGGGTCCTGTATTTGCTCCTCCTTCACCTGGAGAACTCCCTTGCGAAACTCCCTGTTAGCAGCCCCTGGTCACAAAAGCATGATGATGCATGAGCTAAATGAGCAACCAACTGAATTTCTTTCTGCACTGCTGGACCAGTAACTGGATTGTGAGAGAATTGTATGTAACTGAAATGCTGAGATCACAGTGGGTACCAGCAGAGGGGTGGGAGGGGAAGCTGTATCTGCCAGGGCCATGGCTGGTATTGCAGGGTGCTGGGCTGGGTGGGAGGTGTTCTCTGCTAGAGGCTAGGCTGGCATCCACAATGCCTGGGGCAGGTGGGAAGACTGTCTCCTCTAGAGGCCCAGCTAGTGTAGGCAGGTGGGGAAGCTGTCTGCGGAAGCCATGGTCCCTTGGGTAACTTCATAATGTTTTACCTGTCTGCAGAGGTAAATGGGAGTGTCTGGAAGGGGGGAGAGTGAAGAATCAGCAGACTCGCAGCTTGTTCCTGGGCCCCCAGGAAATGGAGCAGTAGTGCAGGCCTGCTCTGTGCTCTCTTTGGGAGCTGGAGCTTTAAGGCAAATTCCAGACATGAGATGCTTGCATTATGGAGTACAGTTAGGACCAGCTCAGCCATGGCAGCTGCCAAGTTTATGGTGTTTTTTTCTTGGTGCAGACAACAGCTGCTTCTCTCCAATACCATTTCAGCCTGAGCTGAGCTAAAAGTTTTGTCCCAAGTGTTGTCTAAACAGTATAACTGATGTCTGTCGGCCATGTGGGATAACTGAGGTGTATGGGTGTGGAGTTGAGGAGTTACACAGGTATTTCAGTCTCAAGGCCTTGCAGCTGCTGGTTTGTTGCAATGCCTTTTTGTCTAATTGTAGACAAATCCTGAGAAAAGCACAACACTCTGAGTGCCGGTTTACCAGCATGTCTTCTGGGAGTGGTAGGACAATGGAGTGTTTCATCAGAGGTTCTAAGCAAGGCAGGTTTGGTGTTGCACATTCTGTCACTTACTCTTCCTCTATCTTTCTCTCTCTTTGTCCATGTCCTCACTGGGGTTGGCATCCCAATCTGGTGCCTGTTTGTGCTGATGAGGCCAGACATTTTAAAATATCTGCTTAGGAAAGGCATGTCAACTCCTTGTCACAGCAGGTGCCTCATGTGCTTCTTGCCAAGGGAGCGGATACAGCTGGGCATCGTCCACATGAGTTAACCAAACTGTTCTGTATCCACTGAGACTGGAGGCAGGGAGGCCCATTGCTGACAACCATTGTTAATGTGTCACTTTCCTGTTGCATATGTAAGCCCCGCCTACCCTGATCACGCATATGTGCACGGGGCCAGATGTGCACACTGTGGGTGGGTGTGTGTGTGTGTGTGTGTGTGTGTGGGGGGGGTGACACTGTCTCTTGTGCACTGCCAAACACTCCTCCCTGTATATGTGTGTCTGTCTGTCTGTGTTGGTTTCTCAGTTCTAGCTCTAGTTGTTCAGATCAAGCATGGCAGAGCTTCCATCACAGTCAATGAAGAAATTCAGCCTTCCCTTCTCTTTTTTCACACTCTCTCTTTACCCGCTGGCAGCACTGCCTTCTCTCCTCCCCCACCAAAGTCCTCGCTCCCGTTTTATTCCTTGCTGTTATCCCAGACGTTCTCTGGCTAATTTTGCATCTTGGTAGTGATTAGGATTTCTCTGCATTATCAACACCTCCCCCACCTTCATAAAGTCTCCCTTATGTAAATGGCTGTTCTTGAGGGCAAATCTCTGTCCGGATATTAGAATCTGGCAGATGTCTTCAGCTTTTTCTCTGTAATGGCTGTCATTTTTGGAGGAAGGGGAGGCTGTGAGAGAGTAGAGGACTTGAAGTAAAATCACCTCGGGAGCTCTGCACTGTTGTTAGACACTGAATCTCAGTAAGGTGATGGAGGGTGGGAGCGTTGCTGGCTTAACACTGACTGTTGAATAAAAAGGGCAGGCTACCTTCCCCTCTCTCAATGTGATTGTGATGGGTAGCGACACAACAGTTTGACCTCTGCTGCTTTCATCATTACCAAGAGAAATTAGCAGGGGGTGTCCCCTTAATTCTCCTGCAATTGGGAAGGGAAGAGAGATTTAAAACCAAACCCTCACCAGCTTGTCATGTTTTTCTCTGCAGCTACCAAAAGCCTATTGAACAAGAAGTCGGATGGAGTGAAGGTAGGTCCAAGCTTTTCTACCTCCCCGCTCCTTTTTCAGTCCATTTACTAGCAGGCAGCTGTCTCCCTGGGGCTGCCCCAGGACTGGAGCTGTTCTCTGAAGAATGGGTTGTTGGGGATCTGACCCAGCAGCTCCCTACACCTCTTACCTGCACAACATACAACTAGCAAGGTGTGTTATAGGATTTCCTTCCCCCGAAGCTTTGGGTAATAGCTGTTGCCTGAGGCAGGACACCGGGCTGGAGGGACCAAAGATCTGATCCCGTCTGACCCAAGCCCTGGCCTGTGCGGTTCAGCTCCTGAGCATGGGAAGATTTTGCTTTTTTGCAGAGCTATTGTCAGAGGATGACGAAGGCCAGCAGCACCCATGGAAATCTCCCCATCTCACCCCTTCGTTCCATTGACAGGGCTAGGGGTTGTGGGGAGGGGGAGTTCCACCCATCAGGGATCTGTTGGGTCAGAATGTAACCATTTCACTGTGTCGGTTACATCTGAGTGGCGAAAAGGCAAAGCAGTTCTGCTTTCTCCACCCTTACAGGCCAGGGACTCTGTGCTCCCTGTTGAAGGAAATCACTGTTTCCTTAGTTCACTCTCCTTATGTGTCTTGTAGCCTGATCTATGAATCGGATATTCATTATGTTGGTTACTTAAGAATTTCCAGTGATTGCTCTGAGGTTTGACGGGTTCTTGTCCCGAGATCAGGCCCAGTATTGTTAGAATTACTGGTCAGTTGGGAACCCCGAAGTGCACAGCTGCAACATTCCCACTTTAGGAACCTGTCTGTATTTGAAATAGTTTATTAATACATTTAGCAAAGTCACAAACACTTTAACTCAGCAAGGTAGCTAGAGATAATACAGAACGTGCATCAGAACATCCATTTACTCACACCATCCCTTGTAGAACAACCTGAAATGTTATCCATCATCTTCCTCATCATCATCACCAGTGGCCATCATCCTGGCACCTCCCAAGGGCTACATCTTGCTCTCCTCCTGCCCCCAGGCTGGGATACAATTTGTATAACATGTTACACTGACACCACTTTGTCTAATGCATATTCAGTCAGGGTTTCTCCCCTCTTCCTTATTTGTATTCCTCATATTACTCATGTTGGGGGGCCCTTCTCCTATAGGTTAGGATGTTAATGATCTCCACTTGTTATCATATATGTCAGTTTGTTGCCATGGCACTCTTGTGGTCACACATCTGCAGATGTTCCAGTCCTAACAGATCCAAAAGCCAGTGTTAGCTCATGTTCCTGTGGCTGGCTGGTGGTGTTATGGACAATTCCCCCACCCACCCCCCCCAATACACTCTGTTCCCAGTTCCCCCAAACTCAGGCCATTCATGTGTGCCAAAGTGTATAGGCCTCAAGCCTATATTCATGTGTGTCTGTTTTGGCACACAAGAGACAGGCCTGTAAATTCCTTGCATTACTGCTGAATAAAATAAATGTTAGCTCTATGGGCTATAGTGTGCAGCCTCTGGTTCTGGAGTTCAGAAAGGGTCCATTCCCCGGGACATAGGCCATGACTCCAGATGGCGACTTATACCTGGTAACCAGCTGTTTAGAGCAAGGATGAGTAGAAAAGTCCAGGGAATGAGGACTTCCATACCTATCACTAAGTGCAACTCTTCTCCTCTCCCAGGAAGGGAGCACTTTATTCATCCAGGCTTGTGCTTTCAGTTGAAGCCCCAGACTTTCCCTGCTGGTTAAATGACAGGAAACAAAGGGTAGGAATAAATGGTCAGTTTTCAGAATGGAGAGAGGTAAATAGCAGTGTCCCCCAGGGATCTGTATTGGGACCAGTCCTATTCAACATATTCATAAATGATCTGGAAAAAGGGGTAAACATTGTGGTGACAAAGTTTGCAGACCATACAAAACTACTGAAAATAGTTAAGTGCAAAGCAGACTGCGAAGAGTTACAAAGGGATCTCACAAAACTCGGTGACCGGGCAACAAAATGGCAGATGAAATTCAGTGTTGACAAATGCAAAGTAATGCACGTTGGAAAACATAATCCCAACTGTACATATAAAATGATGGGGTCTAAATTAGCTGTTGCCACTCAAAGATAGTTGTGGATAAGTTCTCTGAAAACATCCACTCAATGTGCAGTGGTTGTCAAAAAAAGGGAACAGAATCTTGGGAATCATTAGAAAAAGGATAGATAATAACATAGAAAATAATCACTTTCTTCTTCAAGATGTGTTGCTCATGTCAATTCCATTCTAGGTGTGTGTGCGGCCACTTGTGCAGCCCTCTTGAGTGCTGTGCTCATACGTTGGTATATTAGGCGCCGCTGGCCCTACGCCCTCCCAGTTTCTTCTTACCGCCCCTGGTGGTTAGTCCGAGCGCCTCTCCCTTGCCTCACAAGTGCTTGAGCCTTTGGCCTTGTAAATAGTTTGTTTACAGTAGGTAGTTAGTAAGTAGCTGTTAAGTAGGCATGCTCCCGTCTCCTGGTTTTAAGCCCTGCTCTGACTGCAACAGGCCTATGCCTATTAGTGACCCCCATAGCAGCTGCCTCAAATGCTTGGGGGAATCGCACTTGAAGGAGAAGTGTCGCATCTGTAAGAACTTTCGTCCCAGAATTCAGAAAGAGTGAGACATCTTTCTCATGGAGGCTGCTGTCTGTCCGGCGTCTGAGCCTTCCTGGCTAGACGCTGCCCTGAGCACCTCGGTACACAGCACACCCGCGGCCCCAATGCCTAAGAGGAGGTCAAAGAAGGGCGACAGACCAGCACTGAGCAAGAAGGGCAAAGGACCCAGTTTGGGCCAGCAGCCCACAACGGAGCCACATGGGGACGGCCTATGCCAGGCTCTCCCAGCGCCCAAAGAGCAGAGGCCTCTACCAGCACCGCATGTGTCGCAGGTCACAAGCAAAGGCTTCTGGTGAGGGCAAGCCAGCCGTAAAGACCACCCAGAGTACAGGCGAATGACGCCGGTTTCCAGAGACGAGACAGCGCTCTCCGTCTGCATGCTCAAAGTCTCCGTCTTCTGCAGGATGTCCTAGATCACAGACACCGCACTCACCATCTCCAACTTCTTAATGCGGGTCATCTAGAGGAAGGCACGGTCACAGTATTGTGGGCACCAATCATCCTCCCGCCGGCTGTCTCCTCGGCGCAGATCCCAGTCTCCTAGACCATGGGAGCGGTCTGCGTTGCAGTAACAATCCCCCTGTCCCCGATCCACCTACTCGAGGCACCGGTCTCCTGCGGCCACGGTTAGCCGTGAGAGACAAGCTTCGATGTCCCCTCCGTGGTCACTGGAATCTGATTCCTCTGGTTCAGAAAGGGAATTCAACCCTTCACCACGACAGCATCGGCGTGATGGGTACCTGAGGCTGCTTCAACCTCCATGATGCTGTCAGGGCAGCGAGGCCAGTGGCTGATGCAATGGCCCTACTGGGGCATGTGGGGCATGCCTGTGATGCTGATGCCTCAGTCAGTCCATTCCTTGGCCACTGCCTCAGAGCAGCAACCAGCGGCACTGAGCTCGGTGCTCAAGACGCACTTGGAGGCTGGGGGAGAAGAGCAAGCACCCACCCCAAAACCCTCTTCCCGTCCCCCGGTGACCCAGTTGTCGTCGTTGTCCCCAGATGAGGCTGTGGCGGGCCCCTCCCGTGCCAGCCCGTCGGACGATTTTAAAGAACATCAGGCCCTGTTTCGTAGGGTGGCTATGAACTTGGGCTTGGAAGTGGAGGAGATGGCCGAAAAGGCGAACAACCTGTTCAATGTGCTCTTGACCTCTAGTCCCACCCATGTTGTGTTACCAGTACAGGATGGGGTCCTAAAAATAGCAAAAGCCCTTTAGCAAACTCCTCCTTCCATCCCTCCCACTTCCAAGAGGGCAGGAAAAAAAGTATTTTGTCCCGGCCAAGGGATTCTAATATTTGTATACCCACCCTCCTCTGGACCTTGCTGGTCATCTTGGCAGCCAATGAGAAGGACAGATGAGGGCAAACCAGTTCATCCCCCAAGAATAAAGAGGCCAAGAGGCTGGAACTTTTTGGGAGAAAGATTTATTCAACGGCCAGCCTTCAGTTCTGGGTGGCTAACCACCAGGCTCTCTTGGGGAGGTACCAGTTCAACTTATGGGACTCCTCTGTAAGTTCAAGGACTCGCTGCCCCAGGACTCGGCCCAGAAATTCGGGGCCCTGGTGGAGGAGGGTACGACACTGCAAGGTGCTCCCTCCAGATGACGTGGGATACGGCCGATTCGACAGCTAGGGTGGTCATATTGGCTGTGGTCATGCTGCACAGCTCCTGGCTTCAGACCACTGGCCTGTCCCGGGAAATGCAGACCTCGATGCAGGAACTTCCCTTTGATGGGACTGGACTCTTTGCAGAGCAGACTGACATGAGGCTACACGGAGTGAAGGACACTCAGGCCACCCTTCACTCTCTGGGTCTGCATACGCTGCAGTCGGCGAGGAAACAGTTCCAGCCACCTCTGCCACCAAGGCCTTGGCAACCTCGACAGGGGCCTGCAAGGAGAAGGAATAGAGACACGAGTTTTAGTCATCGCCGCCCTCTTTCCTCCCACTCACTTGCACAACCCGGCCTGTCGAAGCTTCACGAGAGCCAGAAGCGTTTGTTTTGAGGGTGCACTCAAAGGTGACGCCCCAGTCTTCATCCCTACCGTTCGGCCTGGTTGTGGGTCACCTTGGACTGTTGTGTGCTAGAGATTGTATCTCAGGGCTACACCCTGTAATTCTCGGCTGCTCCCCTACCCCCCTTCCCTGTCCCTCTGCTCGGACCCTTCTCACGAGCAACTCCTCGTTCAAGAGGTCGAGAACCTCATGCAGCTGGGGGCAGTGGAGGAGGTCCTCTGCGACAGGAGGGGAAAAGGGTTCTACTCCCATTATTTCCTAATCCTGAAAGTGAAAAGGGGTCTAAGACCCATTCTGGACCTGCAGCGCCTCAGCAAGTCTCTCAAAAAGTTGAAGTTCCGCATGATCTCCCTGGTCTCCATCATCCCCCCTCTGGATC